GGGCAGGAAGGCGAAGCAGCCGAGCGAGGGGCAGGCAGGGAGGGGGTATTTACGGCCACAGGGCTCGGGCAGCTTCGACCAGCGGGCGCCGGGCAGGCACTGCACCGTGTCCGACCTCCCGGGGATTCTGATGGTGCCTTGGATGCAGGTGTAAGTCACCCTGGATCCCACCGGGAAGCTGCTGGTGTGCTCGTCACTGGATGGCCTGGAGTAGTTCATGTGAGGTGCGGGTCCACAGTCACCTGCAGCAGGAGAAGACCTCCTGAAGAGAGAACCCCCTCTTCTGACCCCTCCCCTGCTCCAGCCAGCATCCCAGGAGGGCAGGGGGGGCTGGCCCAGGTTTCCCAAACTCTGGGCAAAGGCACCAAGCGGGGCTGGATCCATGGAACCACCCATGGGAGCATCAAGCAATGGGTCTCCAGGCTTGGAGGTGATAGCATCACTCACCCCAGCCCCTGGGCAGCAAGGTGGGACCTGGGCAGGTCTCACTGGTCCTCCCCACACATCCCATATCCCTGTACTCACCACAAGCCCCAGGCATGGCCAGGAGCCCCAGCAGGGCCATTAGCAGCGTGGGGTGGGCAGGGCTGCATGCCCCAGCAGGTGCCCTGCAGCTCAGGGTGCCTGGGAGGTGCCTCCATCCTGGCTCTCCAGGCTCCATCGCAGCAATTCCTGTGCTCCTCTGTCCAGCACCACCGGTTCCAAGGGGCTGTTTCTGAAGCTGGGAGGAGGTGCAGCACGGCAGACATGCCCAAGCCTCTGGAGCAATGGAAACCTTCTCCAGAACACCCACTGAGCCAAAGCCTCCAGCAGGGATGAGCAGCCAGGGGTTGGGACAACTGCCAGGCACAGGCTCTGGTAAAACCTCTTGGTCCTCCTGCCCCACCATAAGGGATGGGGGATAACTCAACCTTTTTATACTCTTTCATTTAGCCAGAGACCAGCAGTGAGCACAGTTTTACCCAAACCAAATGGTTCCAGAGCAGAAAAGACCCCCACCCAGCCCCAGGCTGTATCCAGGGCAAGAAAATGCCTGCTTAGTTATTTGCTGGCAGGTAATGCAAGACAGATTTTCCATAAGCAGAGGCTGGGTGGGGGGTGGTGGGGTGGGGGGAGCATTTCTCTGTTTGTTTGTCAATTTTTTCTTGACTGCCTGACTCACTTGTAACGAAGAACGGGTGTGAGCAAACACATCTGCTACTGACTAACACTCTGAAACATCCCTCTGACATCAGACAGGGCTCCAACACACTCCTAGGCACAGGCAGGAGGGAACACCCAGCTCTTATTCATGCACAGAGGCTTCATGCCTTGCACAGGGAGATAAGACTCTGTTTGCAGTCCCAGGAGAGGCCAGCACAGAGGTGAGTGAGGTGCCACCTGGGAGGGCACAGCCCTGCTCAGCGTGTGGCACAGGGAGAGCCAGAGTGGGTTTGAGGGCTCCATCCCTGGAAACATTCAAGGTCAGGCTTGAAGGGGCTCTGAGCAACTTGGTCTAGTGTGAGATGTCCCTGCTTATTGTAGGGGGGTTGGACTAGATGACCTTTAGAGGTCCCTTCCAACCCAAGGCACTCTATGATTTAAATCAACCCTAATAACTCATAAGAGCACACACCTGCCCATGACACACTGCTGCACACTGCTTGTGCAGGGGAGGACTGATCCTTCTGCCCCTGAGCATGCAGCACTGCATGTGGCCTCAGCCCACAGCTTGACCTTTAGATGTGCCATGCTGAGCTGTGCCATGCTGAGCTGTGCTGTGCCAAACCCACTGCAGCTCCCAGGCACCAACCCAACTGCCAGGGCTCACCTCACAATCACAACAGCCATGGGACCACACTGGAAACCTGCCTAAATTCACAGCCAGCCTGACAGGTTACTAGCCCCCCATGGTTACACCCACACCTTCATTGCAGCCCTTCAGGGCAGGAGTAACTGCTGCATCACAGAGCTACCTGAACTGCTCATCCTTTATTGAGTAACAAGATTTGCTGTCTGATTCTCTATGCTTAAACTTACAACATATATTTCTTAGCATTTCCTTGCCAGAAACAGGGACATGGAAGATGACACCCCCACAGACATCCATCACCTGCAGTGCTGGGACAGAAACCTGCTGCCTGTTACAAATCAGTGGGAGAAGCAAATAGAAGCCTTTACAAACGTACTTCTATGGAACTGCCCTTAACTAGATGAACAGAAATCACCAGCTAGATTAGCAGCAAAGCGTGTAGTTAAATACTTCCTTCACTACTATTTCTGGATAGATGAAGCATGTTGATACTGTGGCAGAGGGTGCAGCATGTGTTCCAGCCACTGGCCAGAAGGTTGTGGCAGCAGCACCCTCAGAGAGACCCACCCACCACTCCTCCCAGCTGGAAGTCCAGTCCCTCTCCCCTCAGCTTAGCACAGTTTATTCAGTGGCTTAAAGTGGCTCAACTGAATTTCTTACTATGCTTCCTAAAATAAAATGTGAAAAAACCCATGCTTGTTAAATAGCAAATCAAGCTTAAGGATTTCAGGAAAAGGTCAGAAATCCCTCTCTGCTCTAGCAGGACAAAAGCAGCTTCCCAGGCATTGGTTATTATTTCTCTGGCTGCAAGCATGAACCATGAAGTCACCAGGAGCCTTCTTATAGCACCTGTATGTCACCAAAGGGAAGGTGATCACCACAGTGCATCACAGAACTCACTTGTTCAAGTTTTCTAATTCCACCTTTAGTTTTTTGATCTCCAGAAACAGTTTCTCTATTTCCAGCAGGGTTTTCACTTCTGCCATAGGCACACCACAGTCAAAGGCCTCTCTGATGTAATGAACCTCCTCACACCCATCAGCATCACCTGCTTTCTTCTGTGGAAAAGTAAAAAAAAAAAGAAAAAAGTCCAGAAAGAAGCATGTTTGGCTGCCATGGAGCAGATGGAGCAGATGCAGAGCCACCCATGCCCCAGCTCTGAGCTGGAACTTCTGTTCCTTTTGCCACACACCACCCCAAGGAAGCCCCCAGAAAGCAAAAGCTTTGAAGAAGTTCAAGCAGTTATTCCTCATGTGAGAGCCCAGGCAGCCCATGGGACTTACACACTTGGGCAATGGTGTCCAGCTGCCATCAGGCAAACATGTGGCTGTCCTAGAGTCTTCTAAAGATGTGTCTCCATCACCTGAGAACTGGTACCCATCAAGGCATTCAAAAGTAACAGTGGCATTTGCTTGGTACCCCATTTTACCATCTGAAGGGCTTTTCAGCCTTCCATGGGCCACCTGTGGTTCTGGACAACGAACTGAAAGGAAAACAAGAGCAGAAAGCAGCTCAGTCATTGTCACATAGGCAGAAAAAACCCCCTAAGACGTGTCTGGAGACTGAGACAGTGCAGGGGAACTTCAGTCTGTCAAACTGTGAAACTGAATGTTAAAGCAAAGTTACTTCCATGGGCAGCTCAAGAGGGGTCAGAGGAGCCCCCGAGAGGTGTTTGCTGTTTTCTGGCAGTGTCTCCATTCAGGTATCCCCCTGCAAGAGCCTGCACGCCAGTGTTTGGCAGTAAGAAATCACACTGAAGAGGAAACCAATAAAGGTGCTGCCTCCTGGGCTGTCTCAGAGCCTCCTTAACACAGGACTGTCAAGGGAAAAAATGCAGCTGTTGCCTGGAAAACATCAGCCACTTCTTCTGCGAAGAGGTGAAGGCACTAGAGGAGCCCGAGGGCAGGAGGAGCCTGGCAGAGCCTGGCACCCACCTGGCTGGCAGGAGGGCAGGGGAGGGTGCCAGGCCCCGTCCTCCAGGCACCGGCTCTCGGCGTCTCCGCGCAGCTCGAAGCCTTCCTGGCAGGAGAACCGCACGGCCGCCCCGTAGCCGAAGCTGAAGCTCCGCGGAGCCACCCGAGCCCCCCGCACCGCGGGCCTGGGGCACCGAACCACTGCGGGGAGAGAGCGCGGGGGGAGCTGCGCTTGGACCCTCCGGCACAGGAACCCACCCTCAGCCGCCTGGAGCAGCCCCCGCGGACACCCCCCCACGGACAATCCCCCCACGGACAACCTCCCACGGACACCCCCCCATGGACACCCCCACGGTCACC